AATTATTTGATCTAATACATTACAAACGATACATTTATAAAGATATATACGAGTATTATTCCTTCAAGAAAGCAATTATATTCAAGTTTAGATTTATGCAGTAAGTATATTGTAGTGAATATATTTTCATTGCTCTCTACATGATGTATGGGTACTACGTAAATGCTCGGACCCTTATTCTGTAAATCTTATTAAGATGACAGCTATCGAAATAAGGCCAAAAATGGTTACAATAATTTACAACTAGCTTTCACCCGCGACTCCATCCGTGTGGAATTAAAAATACAACAAAATTAAGTAGCCTATGTGTTTTTTCAGACTATGCTCTATATCTATGACAAATTTCATCGAGATCCGGTCAGCCGCTTAGGCTACAAACTCTAACAAACATCCATCCATCCACCCATCTAAACTTTCGCATTTATAATATTACTAGCTGTTGCCCGCGACTTCGTCCGCGTAGTGTTAGAAAACATACGAACTATATAAATAACAAAAAGCTACGTATCCCTCGGGAACCGGACATTTCTCGGGGATGAACCTTGTCCCATGTGTACTCCAGACTTTGTTTTATATCTGTCCCAAATTTCAATAAGATATGTTGAACCGTTGCAGAATGATATAGTAAACATTAAAAAACTAAATTAATGAATACCACGGGAACTGTAACTATTTCAGGGGTAAAAAGTAGTCTATGTGTTCTTCCAGACTATGTTCTACATCTGTGCCGAATTTCATGGAGATCCGTTCAGCCGTTTAGGCTACAAACTCTAACAAACATCCATCCATCCATCTAAACTTTCACATTTATAATATTAGTAAGATTTAGAATAAAACTACGTTAACATAATTTACACTATATCAAATTTGACTAAACCCTTAGGTTTTTAGCTTAGCAGTATTATATTTAAATGTTGAGGTTAACTCCTTGCGTATACGATAGCTTTCGTAATAAAACATATTTTAAACTTATGACATACAATATTAAAAAGATGTATTTTATAAAGTATATCAACAAGTTCAATTAAGTTAATTGTTAAACCAATAATATCCTAACGCAAGCAAACACGACTTTCTGATTGTAGTCAAAAATCGTGAACAATTATAACGGGAGAATAATAAACAATTTAATTCGTGATCTGTTTGAAATAAAGTCGATAATTCAAACGTTCTTGCTGTTTCAGATTAATGAGTGCGTACGATTTGCGTTATCGTTATTATTGGAGAATAGGGACGGGGCAGATAATATCGAGTCTGCGGTTATCGACGAAATTTATCGATGGGAAGGAACGCTTCGTTAATTCTGGTCGAGCTGTAAAATTATATAAAATGAAGCATTATATCCGGAATCGAATTTTCGCGTTTAATAGGTACTGTGGAATTGAGCGTTTATTTTAAATGGTTTGGTTTCCACTGATTTATTGCAATGTTGATTATTCAACTTTACGTATATTCGGATTATTTTTTTATGATACCTGAAGGTTAAGGTAACTATTACTAACTAACTAATGATTATTGTAATTTTTGAGAACACATAGGCTCACTTTTTTTTTAATTCCTTGCGGACGGAGTTGCTGGCGAAAGCTAGTTGTTTATATAACGTAACTTTATTTAGTAAGTTAATTTTCTCTGCACAACTACACCAACTAATATAATTATGTTTACTCTAGAAATATACGTTCGAACTGTACAAAGGAAGCTAAAAGGCAGTCACTCTATTAAATACATACAAGGATAAACAGTTTGACGTCCCGACATTTGTAAACAGAGCGCACGTTGACGCCTAAGTAAAATATTTATTCGATTAATAGAACGATATGTCAACACATGCTCGATATCGATGCGTGGGAATTTCATATGTACTGCACTAGTGAATGCCTGACTTTACTTGCATGAAGTTTAAGAAATGAAAATTATCTCTTAGTTTTTATTTTTTATATATGTAATGTGAAAAATTTAAGTTATAATTAAAATTAATTTATGAGTTTGTAGTTAAGGATTTTTCGGGAAAAGTTATAATACATTATGATGGTATTGGTTTTTATTATAAATACTTGAAGGAAATGAAATCGTGAGCACATTAATATTAATATTATTTATGATTATGGAAAAACGAGCTGAATTGTAAACATACAAAGCACTTGTTATTCAAATGATGGCCAAACAAAATCTCTGGAGCATAACAATGTAGCTTTTGTATGAATATTTGAACAAATTTATATCTGAATATATGAGATCTTTAATCATAGGATTTTTTGAGATTTACTTATAAAATATCCCTATCCTCTTATTTCTATTTGAAACATACTTTTAACCTCTACTAATAATCATCATCTCCCCTGCCTTATCCTACTCCCGTAGGGTCGGCGCACCGGGTTTTCGTCCTCCAAATCACTCTATCATCCATCATCTCAGTCATCACTCCCTTTTCGATCATGTCACCTTTCAAGCAATCCATCCATCTCTTTCTAGGTCTACCTCTACCGATGTACCTCCACATTCATAACTAACGTCCTTCTTGTTAAATCCGATTCATCCTTTCTCATAACATGCCCATACCACGCTAATAATCTGTACTAATATTATAAAGAGGAAAGATTTGTATTTTTGTATGAATTGAAGTAACTCAAAAACTACTGGGCTGATTTCAAAAATTCTTTTGCCATTAAAGAGCTACGTTTTCAGCGAGTATTATAAGTTCTTACTCTGTATTTTATTTTTTTAATTTCACTGGAACAAAGTCGCGAGCAACAGCTAGTGGATCAAAAAAACTATAAAAGCTAAAGTCTAACTAAAATGAACATCTCAGTTGTCCACTTAGCGACAACTCTGGGTATAAAAAGCTGTAAGCCAAACAAAACATCAGAGGACCGAGTAGACTCGACAGCGCCGCGATTGAATTTCAAATTAAAACAGTTCATGAAATATTAACAGGATAAAGCTGCGGTCACACTGGGATATTCAAATGGAATGCAGCGCGAATGAGCACGTGGTCTTGTGTTATGCTAACCTGGGAGACATCTAAAGTACCTCGGATTGTACACTAGAAATTATAAATTCCTTCGTCTGTTGTTATCTTTATTTAAATAATCATAACACAAGCTGAAGAAAAACATATGTTAAGTTTATGCGAAAATGTACCTTATAGTATGAATTACTAAAGCAATCCAATTGTGTTTCGAACTTTATAAAATTTAATTATAAATAAACAATGTCCATCTGCGATGTTTTTTTTTTATAACATAAGGTGGCAAACGAGCAAGCGGCCACCTGAATCCTCCAAAATGGCGAAGCGACCGCTGCCCATAGACATCCGCAATTGCAGATGCGTTGCCTACCCTTATACGACGGAGGAAGAGACGCATATAAAGAGGATATTTCCCCTTTCTATGCATCTCCTCCACCGTCAAATCCACTTCCCCTACCCATCCTCTCCTTATAAGAAAAGGGTGGTAAAGGGAAAGGGACTTAAATTAGGCCTCCGGCACCACACTCATCAGACGAAACACGGAATTGCTACCATTTCACGCCTGTCTTCTGTGTGGTCGTGGTATTACACCGGGCGTGCCGACCCATTCGTGCTAAGATGTTAAAGCGGGCACTACCACTGGAAAATGTTTAAAATGTTATCTAATAAGATCGCATACAATTGTTTAAACAAAAACCATATGACGCATAAAATTATCGTTCGCTTACAACTTAACATCTGTTGAACAAGTTACAAACAACCACGTGCGATACAAAAGAACTCAATTAAAAGCTCACAAGTAAACAAAAAAGTCTCTCAATTGGATTCAAGTCGCGTTCATACGCGTTGTATGTTGAGCGCAGGCGCATGCCATTAGCACCGCCCGTGGCCGCGACCGATGTGATGAAGTACCGCAAGAACACGTACTTATTTACATATCTTTGTAAGAATAACATATTATTTTATACACTTCTGATACCGAAATAAATACTTTTATTAATATGCCAGTATTTCTTGTATGTATCATAAACTGTACTAAAATTATAAAGAGAAAAGATTTGTAATTTTTGTATGTGAAATATCTCAAAAACTAATGGGCCGATTTCAAATGTTCTTTCACCATTAGAAAGGTAATTTATCTGTGAGTAATATACGCTATGTCTTTGATTTTTTTAATTCTACGGGGACGTAGTCGCGAGCGGTTTCTAAATAAACTTATTTCCAAGTCAAATTACAATAAAAATAAGTAATTTCAATACAATAAGAAACCCAACCGATATTTTTAAAATATTAACATTTACTGAATAGACTTTCAAATATCCATTACCTAAATGAAAATAAAAATAAATATCAGGCTGTAACCTAGAAAAAATGTGTTATATTTTATGACTTTAATGTATACAAAACAATAATAAAAATGTCTACGACAATATTGTTTTCACGAACCACTTAGCGTGTCTTTTAGCAGACTGTCATTATTTTTTCAAACAACACTGTATATTTTTATTAGCAACAAAACGTTCAGTACGCACCGAGTATTCAATGTATATCAATGAAGCTGAATAAATGGTATATATCATTATGCGAAGTGTTCTTGGAAGGGATTTCGTATCGTGAATGGACCTTTTCGATTTTAAGTCCGACCGTCCTTTTATCTTTCTTGTTGCCTTGAGAATAACATGTTCAGTACATTGAGTTCACTGTAAACATTTCTTTACTAGAATATAATTATATGCGACTAGCTTTCGCTCGCAATTCCGTCCGCGTGGAACTAAAAAGAAAACAAAAGTGAATCCTATGTGCTCTTCCAGACTATCCTCTACGACTATGCCAAATTTCCTCGTTATTCGTTCAGCCGTTTAAGCTACAAACTCTAACGAACATCTATCCATCCATCTAAACTTTCGCATTTATAATATTAGTAAGATTAGTAAGATACAAAAAAACTTATATAAACATACAAAAAACAGATATAAAAGATCGAATTGAGCAGAAATTGAAAATAGTTATACTGTAATTTTTCTCTGCTTACCTCACGTAGCCATCAGCTCCGATTATGTAACAGACTATTAATTTGTAAGGATCTGTAACAAAGAAAAATAGTACATTAACAAATATGTTCCTACAAATATTAGGCGAGAAATTATCTAAATTATTTAAATGATGAAGTTATTTACTAATATTATAAATGCAAAAGTTTACATAGATAATCGTTACTACATACACCAAGAACTGTTTAACGAATCTCACTAAAATTTGGCACCGATGTACAATTTGGAAGAACACACTGACTACTAAGTTTTTTTTAATTCTAGCTTTTTTATTGTTTCTCGTGATTGATTAGTCTAGGAGTCGGTAATGCGAAGTCATACTTTTATATTGAATATCTTTATTTCGCTCCGACGGTAATGAGATCCAGCAACTAACCCTTCCGATGGGGTGCCGTTTGTAAATTATGAAGTCAGTGTGAAAATTATGCGCGTACACTCGGCGGTGCAGTTAATTACATCTGTTCGTAAAACAAACGATCTACGACTTAATACTGTTAAGTTAAGAGCTGGTTTCGTTTAACAAGTCGCCAGATGGCGCGATAAGCTACATCGGTGATTTTATGCAAGCATAAATAATGTAGTGAGCTATTCTATTTAATTATTTAATGAAATTGGACTCCTGTATCATAAACCAGTGCGTGGTGTCCCTCGGTTAATATTCTGTTTGTATGCGCCTGCGGCAAAGTAATATGTTCGGTCAACAAAATTAATTAAAACCAAAGTTGGGCGGTTAGTTGGGTGGCTGCTTTATTTTTTTTTTGTAAATTAAAAACATACAGTTACATAATTAAAAATAGACAGCTATTGATAGATTACAAAGTGAGAAGACAAATGAAATTGTTATTTCCATATTTAATTAATTATTACAACATAATTTGAATTGAGGAATTAATTAAAATTGTTGTAACTTTTCAACAAATAAAAACAATTGAAATACTTTAAAAACAAAAAGAGAAGCGGGAATATATAAACTGTGAGGTAAGCAAAGGGCAGCGGACATTATCGGGGTCAGAGGTCTCACCGCACATTCTTGTCGAGTGTATCAAGTTTCGTTTCGCACGCGAAGGGACGGACCTTTAGCCTGAGGTTTAAACTTCGCCTGACCTACTGGAGTTTGGCTGTCAATCCGGGTAATTATGGGATACATTTTTCACCTGTGTGATGTAATCTATTACATGCCTACATCTATACTAATAATAATAATCTTTCCTCTTTATAAAAAGTGGAAAGATTTGTATTCTTGTATATTGAAATAACTCAAAAACTATTGGGCCGATATTAAAAATCCTTACACTATTTTAAAGCTACGTTATCGCTAAGTGATATAATAGGCTTTACTTTAACTTCACGTGGACGAAGTCATGAGCAACAGCTAGTTTAAAATAGAATTGAAATATGAAAAATAAACAAAGTGCATTTTCTTTGCTTAACATATCCCAGTTGGAACGAAGTACATTTTCTCGTTACCGATAAGCTAACGTGAGTCAGAATAAGACTCAAAAGCTTGTCTGAGTTAGATAGCGTTCACACTGTCCTGAATTGTATACCTCGTCGTAATGGTTTATGTATAAACATAAATTGTACCATAGAACGCCCGGACCGCGTGGCGAGTACTTTCAGAAAGGGTTGTTTTCGAACGTTTCTGTGGAATTTTAGTAAACTTTAATTTAATATTTCCTTTAACATTCAATACAGTAGTAATTTAAGATCATAAGCCTAGAGATAGTTTGCGTCAAAAGTGACATCCAGAAATTGTCAACTGAGAAGACGGTAGATTAGATGGTAGACACTGCAAATTAAAGTGTATTTTACATTGCAAAAAAATCAATGTCATTTTTTCAAAACGTTCATTTGTTTTCATCATCTATTTACTTTTTAAATAAACAATTGAATATCGATCATATTCTCTTTACAAACTGGAGTGTCCGTTAGCTGTCAATACGTCAGCGATTGTACATTGTTTACCCCACTTTCGAATAAATAGTTAAACGAATAGCGACAGGCGTCAAGAAGGCCGTAGCATTCGTGAGAATTCTAGGTCAGAAACGGGTGTTGGAGTACAGAGCAGCCACTCTCAGCAGGCCAACTTGTCGGGAGAGCATTAATTACACAGCTTGTGCGAAGTAGAACGCGTGTAGGCCTCAAGCGGATTTAGGTTAATGAAAAAAATTTTATATTGCACAACATTTTCTCTGCTCGGCTTCAACTACTGTAATCAACTGCTCTGTGATTGATTTGTAGTCGACTCTTTGACTAGTTGTTACAATAGAAGTAGTAACTAAAATAAAAAGACCTAATAATTAAACTGTATTTATAAAAGTTTTGTTAGAAAAATCTTTCAACAATGACATTCTAAGTAGAACTACAACGTACACCAGATTAAATATACAATCATCGAACTCTGTACTGGCCAAAAATAAAAAGAAATAAGAATTTGAACATTTAAAAATGGAAAAATTTGAATTTAGAATTCAACAATTCCGTAGCATGTACTTGAGATGAAGAGCGTCTGTATCGAAAGGCGTGCATTCAGCCAGCCCGAAGCCAATCGGCAGTCAGGCGTACTCGTCTTCGCCCGCGGCGTCAACCGCAACCCTGTCTGCGGTACAAATGCACGCGACTTTATCGGTTGATTTTTTTGCGGCTGCTGTTTTGAATATTTTTTGCATATATATTTTTTTTTCCAGCATATGTACACTTGTATGTAAATTATTCCATTAAATGTTTTCAAGACGTGTACTGCCCCCAATAATGACGTAGACATTTTAAAGGAGGGCAGTAAAAGTATTTTTTTCTTTTTCCTCAATAAACAAGAATGGGACAGTAGAATAGAGAACGAAGATTTCTTCAGAATGTTGTCTCCAAAATTGTAATGTCAATTTTTAAACAAAATTCAATTTTACGAAGTCAGGTTATCTTCAAAGTAATGAAAAGTAATAGCCTGATATTAAGTAGGTCTATAAAGTCATATCTACATAAGTGCTATTAAGAGAAATGTAACATCCAAAGAACGTTTCCTAATCGACTACTAACAAATGAATGTATACTCACCATTAGGGTTTATTAAACTCTAAGAACTCTTTTCCACAAGTTCGACTAATCAGTTTACTTTGAACAGTACGCCTATCTTCTGTCCTAGTATGGCCGCGACTGACCATAGAAATAGCAGTCGCCTAATGGAAATGGGGTTTAACAAACTAGTCGCGGGGTTCTCTCACGTCTGTAACGCGAGAGTATAGAATCAACAAATCATTCTGTCTTTTTATCTCGATCCTGGCTCGTTGACAACTTGACGTACGTTGGTGGAAATGACAGGAGTTAGATGTCATACCTTCAATAGATATGGAATTGTTGAGTGACGCTTAATTAGTACGATTACCTGATTGATATGCTCGAGTTATTGAGCAATAGTTATTTAGATGGAAAGATGATAGTTGAGTCGATGTTTCTGTTTGATACAAATCGATATGTTTATTAATGAAGCTTGAATTTAAGATGAAGCTTTGTCTAACTATACTATTGCAGTTTTTTGTTTATTACGTCTTTTGTTTCAATATATTTGGACCCAATTTATGACTTTAGCAGCTACTACGAGAAGATTTGAGTTGACTCCTTATAAATAAATGACAAAGGAATTTAGCGTTTTAAAAAACGCCTCATCTGTTTACTTGAGTCGCTCTTACTCGGTCCATACCGGTCCGAAGGCAGCGCTCACCTGCCGACTGATTCATGGGTCTCTTACTACTAAATTATGCGGCCGGCGCGCCCGTCGCTTTTTATATCCCCTACAAGTAAGTGTTTAAATTAAACGCCATTCATGCGCACCGAATACTCGTACCTCTCTCGTATGTTTCGTTTCATTGAACATTTCAATCGAGATTTCGTGTCCGAAGTGAGTTAATTAAATACTTTTACGGGACTCACTTCGTCTAGTGGTTACAGGACGTGAACTACTTTTTAATGTTCATCCTTAGGAAATCTTACTTTATTATAGTTGAAAACATTAAACATGTAGATGGATCGATAAGAACGTACGATATTTAAGACAAACCAAAACTCATCTTTAATCGAAAAACAAATACCTACTCGGAAGCTTTGTGAGAAAGGGCACGTAATTCCGTTAGTATGATTCATCGCGCCAATCGAGAACCGTTACATTGCTCTTGCAATTAGTAAACTAGAAAATAATACGATTAGGAATCTCGATTAGCACTGAATCATCGGCGTAATCGAATTAGCGCGAATGCTCGATACATCGAATCAATCATGGTAATGCCGCGCACGGGGCGGTTCTAGCGAAATATCCAATTTTACTCATGTCATCGCTCAAAATTGACGCTAAGCCAAACATTCTGAAACGATAATTATACGATCTTTGCTAATTTGGTGTGTTCTAGCGTAATTGGAGGCCATGCCACAATCTCGATGTTTACATGCCAGGGTCCAGTTAGTGTAATTGTTAAAGTTTCTCTTTGCTGAACTTTTTAATTGGAAAGATTAGTGAAATTCGAATTCAAAGCAGTTTTAAAATTCAATACCGAGATTAGCGACATGATTACATTTGTTTTTCTTGTTTTACTAATATTATAAATGCGAAAGTTTATATGGATGAATGTATGTTTACTGGAGTTTGTCGCCTGAACTGTTAAACAATCTCGGCGAAATTTGACATAGATGTAGAGCATAGTCTGGAAAAAAACATAACTTTTTGTTTTTATTTATTCCACATGTATGGAGTCGCGGGTGAAAGTATGCATGAGTTTCAAAGAGAAATATAAAATAAGACATATTTTATTGTTGAACAAGCCTGTAAATACGATAGCTTGCAAAGGTATCTGGGCAATTTCCACCGCATCGACAAGGAAGAGATTGCATCACAGGAAAAAAACATCGGATCTCGGGCGGAATAAGTCGGGACCTGGCAACAGTCTCCCGTGTATTCCGATATAATTCTGAGAGCTAGATGCTGGTTTGCATTCTAAATAAGATCGATCAATACGACTTGAATTCGAATTGTTACATTTGGTATTTTG